TTTTTCATTTCTGATTTTTAAATTTGGGTTGTCTTACCCACCTAACCATCCTAACCCCAACCTCCTTTGTTTAATTAGCTGGCCCTATGGTCAGTGGTGTGTCAGGTTAGCATAGTATTTTTTTTTTAAATACCACAGCTTCATTTCACTGATCTCTTCAATAACTGTTTCAGTTTTATTTTTTTTATTCCTTCTGTGACTTACTGTTCATTCAAGAGCATGTTATTTAGTGTGTATATATTTGCACATTTTTTCCAAATTTCTTAAGTTATTGTGAAAGTTGTTCCCTATGTTCTGCTTAACTATGGTCTTTTGGTCTTTTTTTTTACTGTTTATACATATATGCATGCACATATGACTAGATTAATGTCACTTTATCCTTTTCAATAAAATGAACTACTAGTTTGTAGCAACATACTTCCAATTAGGGATTATTTGGCAAACTCTGATATTAATTAGGTGCTGCAAACATATGAGCAATAACTTTGAGGAGAACACTATAGTAGAAAATCCTTATGCAGAAAACAAACAACTCAGATACTTTAAAACAATTAAGCCTAAAACTTGAAGGTCTTCCCTAGTATGCTAACAATGAATACTTAAAGAGAAATTCTTCCTTGTGATTGCATGAATCCAGTGGTGAATAATAGAGCTTAGATCACTTTGAAATGATCCTGCAAAGGAAATATGGCTGTTTAGTTGTGGTAGATTCAGCAGGGTTTGGTGCTGTCCTAGCAGTTATGGGAGGAGGAAGTGGATAGGATCACAGGGTATTGGCTTGTTTGGACCGGTTCTTCTTTGTTTTTCCCCTTCACATGAATGATAACTTTTATTTTAAAGGCAGAGTTAGAGAAATCTACCACTGACTGGCTCACTCTAAAGATGGCTGCAATGGTAGATCTGCCTGGGTCAGGCTGAAGCCTAAAGCTTCAGCTGAATCTCCCACATCAAATCTGAACTCAAGTAAACCTTTAAGGATGATACCATCTGTTGAAATACTACCCTAAAAATTTAAATGTCAAAATTCTAAACTCTAGTTCTTTGAAATGTGCCCTTATGTGGAGGTAGCCTCTTCAAAATAACCATGTCAATATGAGATGAAGATTTTTCAGTGGACCCTAATCCAACATGACATCATTACCTTACAAATGGTGAATGTCAGAGAAAGACATACAATTGTGGAAGAAATACCAGGCACACGAAGTTAATCATCCATGAACAAGGGGGGTGATCTAGAAAATGAATTTTACTCATAACCCTCAGAAAGAATAATCCTGCTAACAGCTTGTTTTAGACTTCTGCCTCCAGCACTGTGAGACAATAATTTTCTCCTGTTAAATTGACGCTATGGGATTCTGCCAGACAAATGCTGGAAAACCAATATGGAGTGAGGAATTGTGCAAATTTGGCTAAAATTAGAATAGATTCTGGCAAATAGAGATAAGCAAAGAAAGCAGAATGAATGATCTGATGTGGACACAAAATTGAAATTCCCCCAGGTTTTAAAATCTCTTCCTGTTTCTTCAGAATAGTTACGGAAGGTGTGGGATAAGAAGAAGGTGAGACACTTCATATGTTTCTTTTAAATTCATACTTTTAAAATATGTAATAAATATTCTTAAATATATTCTAGAAATATACAACTTATATTTTAAAGTACACTTTTTAAAAGTGAATCATAGAAAAAAAAAACACAGAAAGCCATTTAGAGTTTTCATCTGCTGGCTCATTCCTCAGATGCCTACAGATGTTAGTTCAGGGCCTGGCCAAAGCTTGGCAATAGGACCTGACTACAGGCAAATCATTTGATTTGTCACTCAAAGCATAAATTAACAGGAAGCTGGAAACAACAGCAGAGCCAGGTCTCAAATCTAAGAAATCTCATATGAGATGCAGGCATCAAAATCTGTGGTTGCATCATTAGCCCAAATGCATGCTCATTCATCTACATGTTTGTTTTGAGCCAATTCAACCACATACACTGGAGGAGGACTTTTTTAAAAACTAGAAACAAGACACTGAAAGAAGTTGGAGAAGTCACTCTCAAAGTCAAGGCATCATGACTTGGCTAAAATTTTGGAACCCACTAAAATGCTCTAGTAAGTCAAAGGTTTACCTTGAAAATGAATAGTGTAGTAAAATCAAGCCTTTATCAAGCAACCACTGAGTTGAAGGAGAAAAACAGAGTATCATTAAGAACTTGCAAAGCCTTATATCCTAAACACTAACCTCCACATCAAAGATTTTTGTCAATGTCTACAGTTCTGCAGTAAATATTGTGCCGAAAAATCAACCCCTCAGTATGTTTTCTAAAATGTCATCAGAGAGAACATAGCCTGATGAACAAGAATAACTAGTGAGCATCCATAGTGACTTGACTTGTGGCAGAGAAATATAGGAACTACCACCACCCATAGCATCATGTACAGGGTTGGACAGGGTGTTCTGTGCAGTTGAGAAAATAAGAAAATGAGACAGATACAAGATAAAGACTATAAAACCAGGCTGCTAGAGGGAAACCCCCTTCTCTGAGGAAGGAGGTTGACTTAGAAGGCTTACAACTTCAGTCTTGTTGAAGTGCTTGTGGAGTTAAATGATAGGAGTTGTTACGGCACAAGCATCGATGGCTGCATCCCATATTGATGTTAACCAGCCAGTGCCTGAGGATCAGGAAGTAACGGTGTGACCCAAGTACAGAAGTCAGAACATTGACTGTCTCAAAGATATCTTATAGCACACAGTAATGTGGTCTCTGACCATTGCCCAACTGCAGACCCTTGCCCACAGTTCTTGGCCTTGGTCTTAGACTTCTGCCTGCTCGCATACCATCGTCTGCAAAGTTTGATCTTGTTCTCTGACACCAATGATCCCTGAACTCAAGATTCCAGACAGCCTGTCCCGCTCTTCCTTATTAAGTCATATTGTTGTTTTTTCACTTTTTTATATTTTTCCTATATATCCTCTTTACCCACCAAAGCTGTAATCAATATTGCTTCTCATAGTTATTGATGGAAAGGCATTGTATATAGTAGCTTATATATGAAGACGACACATTGCTCTTCCCAATGTTAGGTCCCAGGTTTCTTCATATTGGTCTTCTCATGCTTTCTTTGCCAAAGGAAAGAAGGTATTCTGTAATTGTTCTGAAAGACGTGGGAGAGAGAAGATTAATCTGTAATGCTTGCAAATGTTGAATAAACAAAATACTCTAGTAGATGACTGCATCATACTGGAAATGTGAAGACAAGTGATGTTAGAAAAATCAAAACCCATTTACAAGTTCAACATGTCAACTTCAAACTTGTCATATCAGCTGTATAATAGTTTCAGATGTTTATGAGAATTAAGAGGTAGAGAAGAAACTATGGGAAAGCTGACCTTGCATTTGGCCCCGTTACATTTTCATTAACATCTAATCAACTGTATTAGTGGGCATACTTTTCATATTAGATGTTTACAGTGCAATTTAGACCTCTACGATATCAAACTAGGCAGGAGAAATATTTAATAATTTTGGATCCTTAATTTTTGGATTCCCTTCCTTCTTCCTGGGATTCTACAGCTTATTGAGGCTCCTAGGAAGAAGTTTGGGAGGCCATAAGGTACTCTTGTGTTACCCCAGGTACTGCAGCTATTTGGAGTTAAGTGGCTTGACTGGCAGCTGACTCTTCTGCCAGTCCCCATGCAGCCTCCCTTCTGCCAAGTCTAGAGTCTCCACTGGAACCATTTACAGGAAATAGATTCCTTCCTTCATTCTCTCAACCTTGTGGAAGATGCTTTTCCAATAAAGCTGAATCATTTGCTTTCCCCTTTACTCATTGGGTCCCTCTTCCTTAAGCTTGATAGCACCTTACACTGCCAAGAGCATGTTTTCAATAACAGCCTCTTCTATAATTCCACTGACAAAGGGCAAGTCTAGGAATCCAAGACTTAAAACCCAGCTTGTCTCTCACATTGTACAGATCAAATGAATGCGATGAAGAACATTGTCTTCTAATATCAGAAGCAGTTTTTACAAAATACATTGTATCCAAAAACAGTGTATAATTATGGTAGTGCCCCTGTAAAATTTTAAAAATGCTGTCTGATATAATTTGATATTTGTTAAACAACCAAGAAACAAGGTCATGGTGAAAGAATACTTGTGGCTAGAATAGCCTAGGTCATTGTATTTGCAATTCTGCTGTCCTTTCAAATTGAGCACAATTTAAAAATGATTTTCTAAACAAAAGTGGTCCACTATTTGTCAGTAAATACATTAGCAATAAAGAAAAAAAAAGGACAATGAGGTCTGTGCTAAGGTTGATAAATGCAAAACATGCTTAGCCTTCAACTTGCATTTTAAAAATTGAGTCATGGACAACACATTAATGCCTCAAAATCCTAAATTAGAATGTTGATATGTGTTCTCTATATCTATAGGAAATGCCAAAGAATCCAATTAGAATGTGTGAACAATGCTAACGCCACATTTATTCAGTCAGGTTTAAAAGATGCCAATGAAAAAACAAAAATGCTTAGTATCTATAAAATTGATTAAGTTGAAATACATGGTGTACAATTAAAATGTCATTAGAGGTCTAATTATGTTGCTTAAAGTAAAGACAAATACAGAAATGACTAATTGCAGTAAGTTGTCAATAAGAAACATATTATTAACATATAATACTTTACCCACACCCCCTCTTGAATAAAGAGAAAAAACGCCAGGTTAAAGCTAGGACTGGAGGCTTGTACATTACTCACTAAGCACTTAGCATCCTGATTGATAAGGGTCTGCTAAGTGGTGAGTTGTAAGAACGAAGAATCAGCAGTGTTCCTTTAAAATATAAAAGCAAAAGGTTAATTACTTTTCAGAAAACCTGATGTTAACCTTGGGAGTAATTGTAAACTGTTTTTTACTGTTCTTAGAGCTAATTTATTGTTTCTTCTAGAAATTCTAGAATGACAGTGTCAAGCAAAAGAATGCCAATTGAACACGCTTTTTTCTTCTGTTTCAGTTGACTTATCTTTAGTGAATGGAGAGGAAAATGCCATCTATTTGTTGGGAAATTCTCTTGGCCTTCAACCAAAAATGGTTAAAACGTATATTGAAGAAGAACTGGATAAGTGGGCCAAAGTGTAAGTATTGATTTAAAAGCTACTAATCAATATCTCATAAAAAAAGTACTAAAATTACACTAACATGTAGAACATAGTCCTACTAATTTAGAGCAGACAGAAACTTTGGGGATCACATCACTGATACCTTGATCTCACTGAAATAATTAAGTGTCAGAGTAAAGTCACATGTCAAGTTAATAGAAGAGGGAAAGCTAAAACTGTCATGATGTTTAAGCCATTTAAGTTCCTCTCAGGCCTGTGGTGTCATTGGCACTTCTAAACTGGATATAATAATTTTATTTTTTAATGACTAACAAGAAAGTTAATATGAATGATTTTAATTTTTTTATTCATCTTTTTTTTCCCTAAGCTATCAGCATTTTTTTTCCTTTTTGTTGCTTTGATTTTATTTGAGAGGCAGAGTGACAGCAAAAAAGAGAGGGAGACAAAAATAGCTTTCCCATCTGTTGGCTCTCCCCAAGAGACTGTCACAATGGCCAGGGGTAGGACAGGTTGAGGCAGACAAGGTAGGACTTAATCTGGGACTCCCCTGTGGGTAAGATGGACCCACCTTACGTACAGTTGCTGCCTCTACTGTGTGCATCAGCAGAGAATTACACGCGTACACGCAATACTAGAGCCCAGGAACTCCAATATCCTCCAAGCATCTTAAGAACTATCTTGGGTGCTGCACCAAATGCCTGCCCCAAAATGTATGCTTGTTCATAGAAAAAGGTTACCTGTTGATGTTGGCAAGGAACTGGATGAAGCATAAGCCACTTTTCTCCCTATGTGGGCAACTGTTTGTTGAGAAAGATGTTCAACGTGACTTTAGCAAAGCAGATGTGCTCCAAGCACGAGGAAACCTTATGTAAGGACTTTGTTCTTCTCCATTTCTTCTGTTCTGCTTTTACTTTTCTCTCCGAAATCCCTTATCCTCTTCAAGTCCAGCCTTCTACATCACAGTGCTGGGTCCTCTGCAAATGTCACTGTTTTGGGGTGAGCAGTTTAGAGATATTGTTTCATTAATTTCTGTTTGTTGGCTCTATCATCATCCTCTAAAAGAAAATAACCTAGTCTTATGTATTTTCTAGCTTTCCCCAGTAATTGTTGATAAAATTAAAACTAGAGAGATTTTTGAAGACTTAAATTTTCCGTTATTTCTATTGTTTATCACTTAAATGTTTTTGAATGTCAAATGACCAGATACTTTTAAAATATTCAGTCATTATTTAAAATTTAAAAGTAATATGTTTTAAGTCAAGTCAGAAGATCAGGAAACATTTTGAGAAATATTTCACTAAACTAAGAATTCTGGAGGCAAAACATTGTCACTGATAGAAACTCGGAGTGTTTCTTTCACTTCTTTTTATGGTACTGATATTTTGTACTGGTTACAGCACCTGTTCTGTAAAGCATATTTATATTGTGCTAATGATTACTAACATGGTTAAAATTAAAGAGCAAGTAATTTTAGTGGTTAAAAATGTAAGTTTGAAAAAAAAAGAAAAAAAAATGTAAGTTTGCAACTTAATGCAAAGTGACAAAGGCTTGCATAATTTATTAATCCATTTTAACTTTATCTGCATAACTTCTATGCATAGATTGCAAAATACCCATCACCACATTTAGGAGCATTTTTTTAATAGCAGGTTTAGTGTTTAATAAATGAGGGTCATAGTTAATAAAATGGTTAATATTCATTTTTGGCCTTAATGTAAGAGAGATGAAAGAATTGGATCAAATGAATTTGAACTTTACGGAATGTCCTTGCCTCTTAGATATTCATTCAACAAGACTGTGCATTTTTAAAATTTATTTTATCCTCTAGGCATTTAAAAAGATGTTGTCCTGCTACTTTGTTCAGACTCTTAAACTTATACTACTTTAGTATGGAACTGGTTGATTGCTTTCAAGATGTTAAAGTTATATTTTGGGAACATGCCTCTGTTTCAACACTTATCCCTCTATTGTTATTGCCTTTCACTTTTGTATTTTGCCTTGTGACAGTAGGAAATTTCATGGTCTTAATTAAGCCTTCTTACTTAGTTTTCATTAGAAGAATCAAAATCAAAGTTCATTGTAGGCATTGTAAATGGAATTAAACATTTCTTTTTATTAAGATTTATTTTATTTGCAATGGAGAGTTTTTGACACAAGAGATGCAGACAGCGAGATTATCCAGCATGAGTTCAGTCTCCAAATGCCTTCTGTTTGTGGGACTGGCAGCCAGAACCCTGGAACTCTAGCTAGGTCTCTCAGGTACATGACAGAGACCTAGGTACTTGGGCCATCTTCCTCGGCTTTCCTAAGTGTGGTGTGTTAGCAGGGAGCTGGATTGAAACTGAAGCTGCTAGAATTCAAGCAGGTGCCTTCATGGGACTCTGGCGATTGCAGGTGGTGCTTAACTTTTACCACTGTAATTCCCGTCCCAAATATTGTTTCTAAACAAAACATATTTATCACACTTTTGCCTTCTTTATTTTAACTTGTTTTCTTGATTCATACTTTTGTGGTCAGTCAGTCATCATCAACCTTAGTCATAAGCATGCCAGCCCAGGGTTTTCTGCATTCCCAGGAATTCTTGTACCCTTCTACTGCAATCCCCATCTTAGATTTTAAAAATGCTCATAACTTAGTATCATTAAATATATTCTTCATTTCTTTTTAGTTTTGAAAAACTTTATTGATATAGGTAACAGATTTCATAATTTTCACACATACAATTAAAAAATTTGAGACTTTCTTTTACCCCTTCCCTTCCCTTCCCTTCCCTTCCCTTCCCTTCCCTTCCCTTCCCTTCCCTTCCCTTCCCTTCCCTTCCCTTCCCTTCCCTTCCCTTCCCCTCCCCTCCCCTCCCCTCCCCTCCCCTCCCCTCCCCTCCTCTCCTCTCATTTCCTTTCCTTCCTTAATATGCATTCCATTTATTTTATAATTGCATGCTTAATGCCCTGCCGAATAAACATTTCTACAAATAAAAAATAGATGATTGTTCCCCAGGAATATAAAAAGGGACTATAAACAATAATCAAATCGTAAGATGTCAATTTTGCTCATATAACTTTGGGTGTTTTTTTTGTGCTTAATGTATAATAGTTATCAGAAATCAGAGAAAACATATTTGCTTTTTAGGGTATGACTTACTTCACCAAGCATATTACATCTAGTATTATCCATTACATTTCAAGCTACAGGATTTCATTCTTTTTATGGATAAGTCATAGTTTGCAGTATGTGTTTACACATATATACATACATACCACATTTTCTTTATCCAATCATCAATTAATAAAAACCAGTCAATGCCAATTCTTTGTTTAAATTATTCTATTTAGTTTTATTGCAAAGGCAGATATACATATGAGAGAGAGGAGACACTGAAAGATCTTTCATCCAAAGTTTCACCCCCTGAGTGGCCATGATGGCAGGAGTTGAGCCAATCCAAACCCAGGAGCCCAGAGCATCTTCCAGGTTTCCCACATGGGTGCAGGGTCCCAAGGCTTTGGGCCAACCTTGACTGCTTTCACAGGGCACAAGCAGGGAGCTGGGTGGGAAGCCAGGTCACTGGAATTAGAACCGGTTCTCATATGGGATCCTGGTGCATTCAAGGCAAGGACTTTAGCCTCTAGGCCAACATGCTGGGCTCACACTTCTTAGCTAATTGTAAATTGAGATGCTATAAAACTGAATGACAGATAATTCTTTTATATGATTTCATTTCCTTTGGGTAAATTCCAAGGAATGGAATGACTGTTAAGATTCCTAGGAATCTTCCTTTATCCTGTCTTCTATAAGTATTGCACTAATTTACATTTCTACTATCAGTGGATTAGGGGATTTTTAAATCCACATCTTCACCAGTGTTTATTTTGGTTTTTCAGTGTGGTTTTATTTGCATTTCCCCCGATGGCTAGTGATCCTGAACATTTTTCCATTTGTCTCTGGACCATCTGCATTTCATTATTTGAAAATCTCCTATTCCTGTCCTATGCCCATTTCTTTCTTTTTTTTAATGAGTTATTTATTTTTACTGGAAAGTCAGTTACACAAAGAGGAGGAGACAGAGAGGAAGATCTCTCTGCTGATTCACTCCCAATGTGGCCATAACAGCTGGAGCTGAGCCAATCCAAAGCCAGAAGCCAGGAACCTCTCTGGATTTCCAGTGTGGGTTCAGGGTTCCAAAGCTTTGCGCCGTCCTTAACTGCTTTCCCAGGCCACAAGCAGGGGACCGGATGGGAAGCAGTGCCACAGGGACAGGAACTGGCACCCATATGGGGTGTTTTTAAGCAAGGGCTTTATCCACTGGGCTACTGGGCCTAGCCCCCTGACCGTTTCTTAACTGTGTTGTGGGTATTGCATTTCTTAAGCTCTTCATAGAGCTAGATATTAATCCTTCATCAGATGCATAAATTTTCAAATATTTTCTTCCAGTCAGTTGCCTCTTCCTGATATTGTGTGCTTCCTTTGCTGTGCAAAGGCTTCTTATTTTGATATAAACGCATTTGTCTTTTTTTGCTTTGTTTTTATTATTGGTGTTTGTGGGGTCTTACCTAATGTATTTGCCTATGCAAATGCTTTTACATTATTTCCTCTGTTTTCATATACTAATTTGATGGATTCAGATCTGAGATTTAGATCCTTGATTCCTTGTTGAGTTGATTTTTGTGTAGGGTATGAGGGTCTTTGTTTCACACGCTTCATATAGGGACTCAATTTTTGCAGCATTTATTGAAGACACTGCCATTTTTCAAGAAAATAATTTAAGCTTATTTTTCAAGTATTATTTGATTATAGATCTGTGGATTAATTTATAAGGTTCATCTTTGTTTTCTTCTTTGATTATAACTGCCCTAGTATGCCTTAATCTGATACTGTGATGCTTCCAGTATCATTTTTATTTGTTTCTCTAGGATTGCTGTAGCTATTCAGGGTCCTTTGTATTTCCATATCAACTTGTAAATCATCCTGCCTGTGTCTAAGAAGGATGTCTCTGGTATTTAAATTGAGATTATGTTGAA